TTTTCCGTGTTCCTCTCTGCTGTTGTCCTTGTAGAGGTGCTGCTACTTGTGGGTTCGCCACAGCTCGCCGACAAAGGCTTTAAAGGCAGGAATACTATCCTTGCTCCCTCTGTGTTGAGAGGGTTGTGATGATGCCCTTCCTCTAGTGCTGTATGGCTGCCCTTCCTCTAGTGTTGTATTGCTGCCCTTCTAGTGTTGTATTGCTGCCCTTCTAGTGTTGTGGGGCTGTTCTTCCTCTAGTGTTGTGTGGCTGCTCTTTCTCTAGTGTTGTGTAGTTGCCCTTCCTCTAGTGTTGTTACTGCTCCCTCTCTGTGTACAAAGAGTGAGAGAGGTTGGGTAGTGTGTGACTCACGGAGCCAGAATCTGTGATTGGCTTTTACTGACTGTGATTGTTGAGGAGCGTCTGAAGTGACCCACGTTGTACCCGCTTACTGCAGTGGGGAAGTGGAGGGAGTGATGGTGTAGTGTGGTGTGAAGTGGGAACAGGTTGGAGATGGGTCACCAGATGGTGGGAAACTATCAGGGAAGTGTTGTAGACTATTGGGAACAAACTGTTAGAAATTCCAGATCTGCACACTACCATAACAACATTCTGAGATGCGATATGAGAGGAAGTGCAAAATAAATCCACTAAAAAGCAGAGGTACAGTGGGCACAGTAAGAGAACATTGTATCAACATCCGTGATCCCAGATTATTCAACATATTACCAGAAGATATCAGAAACACTGCTGGGATAAGTGTAGAAGTCTTCAAGAGGAAATTATACAAGTATTTCCTCAAAGTGCCAGATCAACCAGGCTGTAATGGATATGTGGGCCAGTGGGCCGCCAGCAGCAACAGCCTGGTTGACCAGACAAGCACCAGACGAGCTTGGCCTGAGGCCGAGTTCCGGAAAAAAAAAAACTCTTTAAAGGTATATCAAAAGAGGATAAAATGCAGAGTCCACTGTCGCCTTAAAGTTTTTAGGGGGGAAGGGGGTCGAATTTCGGCTCCAAGCCCAGGATTTGATTCTACAATTGACCGTCATTGTTGTTTACTTCCAGCTTGGGTTGTCATGTGTTTTCTTCAAACTGTGTAATGAGTTTTCTTCCACTACTTACTCCTTCCGTTGTTTCATTACCCATAAATTTCAGGAGTATTTCCACACAGTCCTGTGTCTCATCTTAGTTTTTATGTCAGTCTCTTATTATTCGCCCAGGCAGTGCCTCTTACTATCCTGCATGTCTTGATCATATACCATCCTTTCGATCCTCCGTTCTTCCAAAGACGTTAGGTTCTCTGCCTTTAGTCCTGTCTCCCAGACAGTTCAGCTCCAGGACCAGTCTCGTTTCACGCACTGAGGTTTCTGTTGCTTCTTTTCTTGCTTCATCAGATCCTCACTCCATGATTGTAATGAAGCTGTTAATGTTTGCTGCACGCAGGTCGACGTAGCATCACAGCCCAGCTGATCAGCAACTTCAAGAACTTTTTGGGTTCCCTCTTGAAGACAATTGTGGCAGACTTCTTCAACACATTTTTAATGTGCAGTCATTTGAAGGAAAATTCCTTGACGCCCGTGAAGGCTTTTGAACCCTTCATTTTTATCCTGAAGGATACCTGAAGGAGGCTTCCGGAGGTCACTGCTTCCGCGGCCTAGTTCCAGACCAGGCCTCCCGGTGGATCAAGGCCTGATTAGCCAGGCTGTTACTGCTGGCCACACGCAGCACAACGTATGAACTATAGCCCGGCTGGTCAGGCAATGATTTGAGGAGTTTGTCCAGTTCCATATTAAAGACAGATAAAGTTATCAGACCTATAAACCTCTCATTCACCACTCGTTGCGTGATACCTACGAATTTAAACCTTCTCCATGACTGTACTAATATCCATTGTGCGTAGCGTTATCGTGTCAACCTTGAGACGTGTGCAGCAAGAGAGTGACATTGATCATTAGTTGTTTTGCTGGAGAACAATTGAGCAAATCCTTTTGAACAAATTCTTTTGCTGGAGAACAGTTGAATAAATCCTTTTGCTGGAGATCCTTAACGTCTCTTCGGCATCTCTACTGAGACAGTTGCACCGTTTAAGGTGTTTTCGAACTTGTTGACAGCACGACAAAAGAGAGAAGTATGGCTTTTGTTGGCTACAGCACAGAAAAAAAAGGTTTCGTAAGAAATCACCTTAAATCCAGATTGATACCTACTGATTATTATTATTAGTGGTAGTATTTACTATTAGGGATGCGCTAAACCTGTATGTGTCAGGCATCTTCTACTGACTACACCAGTTGTCCATGTGCTTCATTAATTAATACTAAGCGGCTCATTCAGAAAATCTCTCTTGATAAAAACACAATCAGTCTTGTTACATTTTGGTACCAACTCTTCATGTTGGTCGAGGAAGTGTGTCAATATGACTGATATTTTTATACACGCCAGTGCTAATAAAATCTACGGAACACTCAAACCGTGTTTCAAAATAAAGTATGACCTTCAGCTAAGATATAAAGAATTCACTTCACACACAGGCACAAGCACGCACGCACGCACGCACGCACGCACGCACGCACGCACGCACGCACGCACGCACACACACACACACACACACACACACACACTCACACACACACACACACACACGCACACACACACGCACACAAATCTTTAACAAGTAGGAAATTAGGTCATTGTTTTGATGAATATCCAGCACCATCATCAAAATTCATTTTTGAAACATGACAGCAATATATTAACCATAATAATTCATTGAAAATATAAAAAAATGAGGAAAAGATTATAAGTCAAGAAACCGTTAAGAAAATGTTTATGTGAATGAGGCACAAGACAAACAACAACACTGAATGTAAACAGATAACTAACCTCACCAGAAGAGAGTAAACTAAGATTATTTCAGAGTAAACAAACTAAGAATCATAAGTCCTGGTTTAAGTTGTTATGTGATCTTCAAAATTCTTAAATCCAAAGTATTCTGTGTTTTAACTATGTTTTTAAAATTATCAGGATGATTGCGATATTTGGAATGATTCTGATAAGTTAGTGAGATGGTGTGATCACTGTAGAAAGTCAGTTGTACGAGAGACCTCTGATTCACAAGCAACAGACTGATGAGGACACATCAGTCAGTGGCAAAGTACCAGTTCCAAATATCATAAAATAAAGAGGATCCAGGGATGAATATCACAAATGCCATCAAGCTCTAGGTATATTATTATTATTATTATTATTATTATTATTATTATTATTATTATTATTATATTCATGGGAATGGGACGTAATCAGGTTTGATTCGACAAAGATGAAGTTCCAATTGGTGAAATCAGTGACCCTTGACTAGTATCAGGATGCTGGAGGCAACAGCATAGCTTGGAAACCAAGGAACTGCATTCCGGGACCTGAATAAAGTGTTTTAGTATGCTATACATGACGCTGTCAGACCCACGTTAGAGTACGCAGCACCAGCATGGCGCCTACTCACTGTCAAGCACGTGCATAAGCTAGAGAAAGTGAAGAGCTTCCCAACCAGACTTTGAATGAGGGAAGAACCAAAGGTGATGTACTTATTTACAGGGAAAGAGAGAGAGAGGAAAGCTGAATTTGAAATATACATGAGCTACGGAGAGGTTAGAAAACGCCTTTTCAATCTCAGGCTGGAAGAAAATATAGATTACGTGCAGAAATAACATATGTCAGTTTTTTTCACTAAAATTAACGTAGAAATCATAACCTAACCTTGTTAAAATTTACGTAATGTAAAATAGATTAATATAAATTTTACGTAGCTATATATAACTGTGGATTATAGAAATGTGACAGTCAAGACATTAATTGAAGACGTTTCACCACTAGTGGGTTTTATTAAGCTTTATTTAGAGGCAGTAGCGCGGAGATAGGTCAAGTGCTACCTAGGTCAATCAGGTGAGGTCACGAGGGGCCGGGGCCGTACACATCATGTTACGTGATGCTGGGGTTCTCTAGTTAGTATCTGAAACTCACATTATTACTCAAGATTCAGCGTCTCTTGAATCTCTTCCCAGAATGATCGTACCTAACGAGAACAACCCCATCATGTGACTTGTTGCATAGACTCCAAGAAAGATCTACGGGTGAGTATCGTACCGAGCATATCGCCAGAGGCACACATGCTCGTTTGGCAAATCTGAAAGTAGCTTTCAGGCATCTCAACAAAGACCTTACATGCGACATATGTTAGGCCTGTTTTGGAGTTGATGACAGCGTAGAACCCTTACTTGAAGTTGGAGAAAGTGCAGAGGTATGCAGCGAGACTAGACCCAGATCTAAGGGAGTGAACTATGAGGAGAGGCTAAAGGAATTGAACCTAACGATATTAGAGGATAGAAGAACAAGGGGAGACATAACAAGGACTTGATAGGGTGAACACCATAGACTGCTGGGAAGGCAAAGAAAAGGTACATGAGGGCACAGTTGCAAGTTAAAGACAGAGTGCCGTCGGGAAGTAGAATGACCCGGACGAAGTCGTGGAGGCTAGCTTCATATATAGCTTTAAGAATAGATATGACAGGAACACGTAACTAGGGAGTAAATCCAGCAAGCGGCAAGAAGCAGGGAAAGGAGCTGAGACTCGACCCTTGCAACCACAAAAAAAAAAAGAGTGAGTAGAAATAGGCGAGTGTACACACAGGCAGCCATTCCCACTCATCATGAATTTTCTCGCCTGGCCTCGCCTCTCCCCGGGCAGCGTGTAACTTGCAGATCTGCAGGTGTTGCGGGTATGCAGGCGGCTCTCAACATCCCTACATTGAGAGTCTGCTCTCGTTCTGTGTACACGAGGTGATCTGCGCCACTCACACGGCTGACTGCCCAGTGTATACACTGCTTCGCTCTACGTCTCTCATACTCATTAGGGAAGGCTGGAAGGAGAGAGTTAACGAGTGTGAAAGAAGATATGAGAGTGTGAGTTAATGAGTGAGTCTACCATGTTGTGAGTTAGTGACTAATGCTTCTGTTTTCTCTTTTGCAGACTCGTTCGTCAACTCTCAGGAATGGACGTTGTCTCGTGGCGTGCCCGACCTACGTCTGGGCATCGTGGGCTCCCTCTCCTCCGGCAAGTCTGCCCTCGTCCACAGGTCAGCCTCTCAGTAATAATAATAATAATAATAATAATAATGACATATGTACTTACTACTATATAGAAAGCCACTTGTTGTGCAGAGCATTTCGGGTAAATTAGGTAAGTTTTGTCCCAGGATGCGACTCACACCAGTCCACTAACACTCACGTACCCATTTCACTGATGGGAAACATAGACAACCGGTGTAAAGAAACACACGCCCAGTGTGTCTACCCTCGCCGAGAATCGAACCCAGACCCTCGCCGTGTGAAGCGAGAGCTTTAGCCATCAGGCCACGGGTGCAGTCTCACAGCTCACACAGGCTCAGTCTCTCGGCAGAATTGCCACTTTGAGACGATTCTGTCGATTGAGGGTTGGGCAAATATATCTCGCTCGTATTCACCTGTTTGCAGGTGGATATGGATGTGTAGCTTGTGGTATGCAGGTGGCTGTGGAACACAGTTTAACTGCTTGCCCTCGGATTAGAGCTTTTCGATTTCCTCGTAGTTTTTGTTACCGGGTTGCTTGTAGTGACCTCGGGGAACTTTTAGGGGAGTCATTTGACACTGGTAATTTAATGGAATTTGTAACTGATGCCGATTATTTTATTTTTTTTTATTTTTTTTGTGTATTCGAGGTAGTATTTTTTTTGTTTATTATTCATATCTTGAATGTTCTTAGGTTTGTTGTATTTATTTTTATTGTCAAGAGGACTAAATGATGTTATTTGAGCACTTTAAATTTCAAATCTATTAACCAATCAGATTCTCGACTCACACGGATCTCACGAATATATTTTTTAAAATCTTGTGTGTTGCTATGTGCCTGTCAGGTTCCTGTGTAGCATATGCGCTTATTAGGTACGTGACTGTGGTATCTGCGTGTTTCAGATACCTGACGGGGTCGTACATGCAGGAGGAGAGTCCAGAGGGCGGCCGCTTCAAGAAGGAGATCGTCTTGGACGGCCAGAGTTACCTGCTGCTTATACGCGACGAAGGAGGCCCCCCTGAGCTACAG